AAAATTATCGCTTAAAATATTTGAATTTTTGCATGTCTAAAATTCTAAGTGTAAATAGTTATTAGTTGATAAAGGTTATAATCGTAGATTTTTATTAGATTCCAACATTTGAAACTTCAGACTCATATTTTTGAAAGATATTACTGAAACATCTATTTTATTGTCGTTGTGGTACAAAAAATACCCATACATTTGCAGTTCGTTAACTGTACCATTTTCTGTACGTTAAATTTAAAAAAATCTCAATTTTAACATGTAACTTTGAGGGAAAATTGTATAAGGTTGCATTTTTAAGGAAATGATCCGTAGAAATTTTACTATTTTTGAATGATTAATTATTTTTTCAATTATCATGAAAAAAGCTAATTAAATTTTCTAATGGATCAACAAGTGATTCATTTGATAAAATGAGAAAAAAAGAATGCATAAAAGCGTGTATGTCAGTATATCCAAATAAATAAAGTAATAGCCAGCGTTGCTGCATAATTGTGCTCCTGTCACCTCACTAAACATTAACCCTGCTAACTGCATCAAACGTCCTTGTATAAAGAAATCACGTTAGTATAAAAAAAAAGAATGTGAAAGAATTAAAGCAACTGAAAATCAATTAGTGTGTCTGAATAGAACGTTGAAGAATAGAAAATCAATCAGTGTGTCTGAATAGAACGTTGTATGAATCAACTATTAATAGATAAAAGATAAAAAAAAGCATAAGCTGCTTGAAAGCTTACTGAAATAAAAAAAAAATAAAAAAAAATTGATAAAATTGTATTGATGATTATTTATGTATTTATTTTTAAAGAAACAAATTAATAAAAATTAAGTAAATATTTATCGATATACAGAAAAGCAGCAACCAAAAAATTTTCATTTTTAAGTACTACTAAGAATTGTATACAAAAAATGTTACTTAAATGAACAATTGGGTGATTGTTATACAGTACAAACAAACCTTGTTAGTTAATAGACAGCAAACGAATATCAAAATTAGAAATAAGTTACAAACCAAACTAGGAACAAAAGAAAAAGGTTTATCTATAATAGAGTTCGAGCGTGCCAAAGATTGCTGGTGAGATTCTCGAGAAAACTTTTTATTTTTTTTTTATTTAGAAGAATTTGAAGTACTCATGTGCTCTAGTAGTATGGTGTAGTATGGTGGGGTCAGCCAGATGAAATGAAAAATTGACTTTCGTAACACATTTTTTTAGATCACAAAGATGAAATCGTCTCTAATACAAATCTAAAATTTTAATTCTACACATGTTTTTATTACATTTATCATATAAAAATGCTTTTTTTCAAGTTGAGAAACTGAGGGTTGACACGCGGAGCACGCAGGGGGGCAAATAAAATAGCCCTACTAATATGAATACACTAGTGAGGTTCCGCCCCCCCCGCGCTCTGAGCATGCCAACCCCTCAACACAACATAGTATGTATTGTATGCAAATGTTGAATTGAATCTGATTTTATTAACTGTTACTATATGTATGAAATTAAACTTTCTATGTTTAACACTAGCATAACATTGTAAGTATGCAATAGCAGTCCAAGCTGTGAATAAAATATTGTTTACCTTGAGAAATACAGTAATAAATCGATAATATGTACAAAAAAGTTTCTCGTGATACTCTTGGACCATAAATACAAAAGTTCTATTAGTTTGCTCACATAAAATTAAAATTTTTTTTTTTACTATCATGTAACTAAAGATATATTGAATTAAAAATTTGCTTACAAAATACAATTTCTTCAGCGTTATCACTTGAATTTAAGTCAATTTATTTAGGAATTTGTAAATTGAATGATAAGCATGATTTATCTTCCAATTCAAGGATTTGGTTTGTGTGTAAAAGATCGCTGTTTTCTTTTGGTATTAATAAAATTTTTTGTAACAGTATATTCCTTACCTTGGGCGTTTGTGAGAGCTCCTCTTTAAAGAGCTTTAACTTTTAAAGAGATACCCTAAATAAAATAACATTTTTTTTCATTGATAAGATCAAACCATACAAGCTGCTTAGCTACACGTATAACAAAACATATTTTTTTCGAAAATTGATTACCATTGACTTATTTAAAATACCGTATATCTTTTGACTCAAAAACTTTGTAGTGAAATTGCTTGAGACATTTGTTATAAATAGTATTTAAGGTAGAACTACCATGAAAAATAATTTTGGCCACCAATTTTTTTTTAAACGATTACATAAGGCATTTTGAGTTACTTTTGACAGAATCTACCATATATGAATGTGATATAATAGAGTTATAGAACTAGATTTAGTTGCTAGCGTTTTTTTCGACCTCCCTTTGAAATTATTGGCTTAGCTTTCTTGAGATAAAACAAAAATCTCAATGTTTTCGATTAAATTCAGCCAATCAAAAATGTTTAACAAAAATGTTGTCCTTTCCCCCACGCTCAACTAACTGATCAAGCAGACCCCTTTTGTCCCTGTTTTACCTCTTCTGTTGACTTAATAATATGTTCAGATTTTTTTAGTAGGATAACGTAAGATGATTGATATTATTATTCTGAAAATCATTGTTCTAGTGTTTTGCTAAACATCATAATGCATGTCAGTTGATATACAAATCAAGTAAATGTGTTAGAAACATTAAAAAAATTTAATTTTGATAACTCACAAAAAATTTTTTCTAATTCCTTCATATTAAAATACTGAACAATTGCAAAAATACTTGTAAAAAAATTAATACACTAAATGTTATAATAATATTAAAAGAAAAATTGTCTCTGGCAACAATAATTACACAATAAAAAATCGTAAGCGAAAAACTTTACTAGACAATTTAACGGTTCACAGATCCATTGTGGTGGGTACCATTTTCATATTTTTAATTCATTTCATTTTACACTTTCTTTGGTACCAAGGATATCTTGATGCTTAATCTAACATATGTTAAAGCAATCATTGTATTATGACATTACTCTCTAACAAAAAACCGAGTAAACTTTTAGTTTAAAGGGTGTCAGTTTGACAATTGTCACCTGGTATGATGCTCTGGGTGTCAGAGATATTTCTGTTTAAACATATTTGTCATCAAAAATATGATATTTTTGAAAATCGTTAACTTATTGTAAGTAAAACAATCTATGCAAAAAGTTATTCAATAATTTATCAACTTTTTATAATTTTTTGCTTGTTTTCAAGATAAATCGTCGAATTAATAACTTCACAATTTTTACCGCACATTAAAAATTCTTCAAGTAAAAAAATGTATGAAATATTGTATCGTATTTAAATTTATAACTATGTGGGTAAAACAGAAAATCATTTTGATTCATGGTCCTGGTGGTAAGGGTGCAATTTTTTGTATAAGACTTTTATTCATCATTTTGTTGCAGCCGTAAAAAAATTTTTCTTACAGCATGGACTAATATTTTTTTACTCAAACTTTTTCAAGAAATAATGAGTCATCAAACATTAAAATTACCACTAGAGTTACACAATAATGCCAGTGCTACCTTGAAACAATAATTTGGAAATAAAAAAATGCAAATAATTGATTTGAAGATAAAATTTGAACGGTCCTACAAAAAACCATTAGTAATAATTGATCAAATTTCATAAGATTTACGATACAGTAATAAACTTTTTCAAAACATTTTGTATAGGTGGTGATTGAATAATTTTTTCTGAAACTAAAAAAATTAATTGAAGTAAAATAATGTTAAAAACAATAAAACTTATAAATTCACGGTTGATATTTAAAACACAAGAATTAAAAAATAATTTTTTTTAAGGAGCGCTTAACTTTAATGATTATTTTTTTAAATAGAAAATGAAACTGTAAAATCATAAGTCCTCAAAAAAAAGTAAACAGATCATGTACGTCTTAAAACATTTGATGAAAAGTGAGATTCCAACTCAAGCAAAGCAGTTCCTACATGTAATTAATATACAAATTTTGAAATCGTCAAATTACGCATTTCATCGAAGTAAGAACTAACCCTTTTTATAGTAAATGTAGAGCAATCTATAAAAGTGATGATTAAATAAGTGTCCATTTTTATTCTTATTTCTCACTTCAAATTTTAAATTCTATTCTTCAAGTCTTTCACCTTATTAATTAAATGTGAGAAGTAGTGACGTTAATCAGAAATTTAAGTAAGGTAGATGGATTATGTAATGGAAAAAAACAATACATAACCCTTAGACCACAAAAACAACAGTTTAAAAAAAAAAATTAAATTAGTTGGGAGTTTCATAGGGGCCTAATAAAATTGAATGTAGAGTTGTTAAACTTTAGATTTGATTACAAATAACGTTTTACTAGCTATGCAGGTAATACGAAAACAATAAATTTATCACACTTGACTGCATGAGGTTCTTTTGGATACAAGAATTAGATGTCTTATTTTACAAATTTCAAACCGGTAACAAATTTTTGCAACGCAAGGAATTAAAAAAATGTTTTTTATTGCCTTTATACAAATGTTTTAATGATGAATAGTAAGAATCACCTAAACGATAGTGAATTAAATAAGATTAATATTACAAATACTTTTAAATTTGCAGAAAAAAACTTGTGGAAATTTTTTATTCTAAGTATGATATTCTCAAAACTGTTTTATATGCTATAGCAAAGTTTAAATGTTTACAACCAAAGAAATTTATACAAAAAAAAAAAAAGTTACACCTTCAAATAATTGTATGGATATAAAACTAATAGTAATTGTATCTTTTGCACTGAAAAAATTTAGTACGGTATTCAGTTGTAAGAAAATACCTGAGTACCATTTTGTAACAGACATTTAAATCTTAACTGAGAAAGATATCATTACATGTTGCTCGTTAATTTTGTAAAAATATTCCATCCATGCGAAATTAGCGTACTTCCATTTGCATCATTTTATGAAACGTTCAATTTTCTTGATATTTGTAAAGATAGTTAATTTATATATACATATGTATAAAAGTAAGTTTCATAAGTTTCTACGTCTATCTATTAGAGAGATGATTCCAAATCAATAATACTTACGTTATATTTTCTGTGCTGAAGGTAGACACAATAGTGTTAATAAAGTTATCTTTCATTATAACAGCACGAATCGATTTCCAATCACTCGCATTTTCTCCTAGTAATAAACATATTGACTCCAGAGCAACTTTTACTATTGCGGGTGGGTTAGCCATTGATCGAACTTCTACCAAATGCTGTTTTTTAATAGATTTCACAGCTATAAAAATAATAACAAAAGAATTTTTGAATTAGTCCTATCACATTATTACATAGTAATTTAATTAGCTCATTAATTGCAATATTGAAAAATTGACACAAATACATTATGAGTATTATAATAAATGTAGCACTAGAGATTCTAATTATGAGTTTAGAAAATAAATGAAAATAATATTTTGCATGAGTTAGGATAAGTAACAAAAATCTAAAAAAATATTAATAAAATCACTCAAAAACAGAACAATGGTGGGTTTGAATCAACTTGTATGTCTACTTATAAAGGGTGCCTTCTTATGAAACACTGCAATTCATCAAAATAATACAAGAAAAATCACATTTATCATTTTCTCCTGGTAGTTCATAAATAATTTTATCTAATTTAGAGTAACGATATAGCCAGACTCAAACCATTCTCTTAGTTCAGTGCTGTTTTTGATTCACCGTTCTACAATTTTAGTATTTGACAGCATATTAGTTGTCAGTTAAAAGTAAATTGCCTGGTAAAGCTTTTTTTCTATGTGCTAGAATCGATATATTGGGTTTTAACAATGGGGGGTTAAAATATTCACAACACGAACTTGTAATGAAAATGTATAGAGCATTTTTACAGTTCGGCGTTAACATTTATTGTTTGATTACACTTTTATTCTCAATTGCACTAACCATCGCACTTTACTTCGAATTAATTATAATTTTTTTCTCAGCACCAACAGTGTTAACGCTCGGTCTTAACATAGTCAATATTAAGATAATCTGTATAATAACTCCCTTTTGAAGATAAACAAGTCTGCAGAATTAAGAAAACAATTTATAATAACAAACAGTCTTCCGTAATACACTTATCTTCTTTATCTTTTTCACACGTTTTTTTTAACACTTATATTATGAAACTTCTTTTTATCTTCTACTTTATTTATGGTAAAAAAAAGTATAGAGTATTGTTAAATTAATAGTTGTATGATTTGTTTGAAAAAACTAAAGAGACAAGCAGATTTGTGTTAACAAGAAAATAGAAGTGTGTTGGTACTATACGAAGACATCTAAAAAAGTACGCAAAAAATAAAGTACTTTAAAAAAAAAACCTAAGACTTATAAAAGTATCCAATCAAAAAAGTTTTTTTACATAATTATTTTCTTTAAAACAATTATAAAAAGTTATTTAAATGTTTCTTGATTTATGATTAAACTTGCACTACCACAGATAATTAGGTGCATCACATTTACCAAATATACTAAAAAAATAAAATTCAAAACTTAAAAACATTTTAATCTACAAGTAATTTGAACAAAAACTAAAAAATGTGTTTAAAAAGATGCATTTTTGTGTATAAGTGTGTTTCACTTAACCTCAATTTTATCACTTGATTTACCTACATTACAAACTATTCGTTAAATATTTTTTTTAATCTAAAAGTATTTTTAATCATAAAAAAATACATATTTAAATTTCACTTAACCATTTAATAGTACGTATTATATATTTATCAAAAAAATTTAGTTATTAGTAGTAGAAGTTATACAATTATATACAACAAAATCATTTTTTATAACTTTCAATTACAAAAGGTTGGTGCACGAAGCAGGCTGAAGAGCAAAGTCACTCTAGTGTATACATACGTTGGCCTATATTACAATACATAGTTGTGTGTATGAAACTCAACAGACGCCCTTACGACGAGCACCTCCATCACGCTACTCACTACAGTACCCCCTCTAGTTCTTTCATTTATCCCCTAGAAAAAAAAGGAAAGTCTTGTTGTTTTTTCATCATTGTCATAGCATACTAGATTTTGGGTAAGATCCTTTACTACTACTCTACATTCCCCTTGACTACCTTGTTCCTCCATAAGATTTTTCGCAACCCTGCAAGCCTCCCTCACTCTTATAGACATCAAGATATAAAATTAAGTTTTTTGTTACTTTTAGGTTTTTCAACAACAAAAAAGTTTTTATTTATTTTTCCATACTGACCAAGAGGTAAATAGACTGACCATTTACATATTACAAAAAGATCATCCTACAGAAATCATTCATCGCCTCACACTGATCTCTAAAGTACTCCGTAGGATTCATCCATGACCCCTCTGCAAAATGAGGCGAAAATAAAATCAAATTCGGTCGTTTTTTCTATTGTTGTGGCGAACAATATTTTAGGTCTAATGACTTCCTCCCAAACTCACACAGACCTTGTAAATATTTTTGTAGGTTTCTAGGAAATTCAGATCTCAATACAAATTTACCTTAAATTATCGTTATATGTAGTTATCATTAACATTTTAATTCTCATTTATGAAAATTTTTTTTTGATACAACGTTATCATTTATTAATTCATTGCTCTCAGACAAGCTTTAAGCTGTACACAAGAATATGTAAATAGTACATGGTTAAATTTTTTTAACTGTGTTTGGTTTTGAGATGATAAAAGGATGGCTTTGAAAATATATTCTTAAATATGTCACTGTATAAAGAGAGCCCGGAACTTGTGCAAAGTATACATTTTCTTTTTTTAATTAAAATAATTGTTTCAGAAAGTGACAAAGGTACGAAGTTTCATCTGGCGAAATGGAGATGCCCTTATAATGTTTAACCTTGAAACCAAGAACACCTAACATCTCCTATCTGTATTGCAATGTAATGAGAAGGGAACGTGGCTTGCCACTTATATATTTACCAATAAAAGGATTAAGTTGGCTAAAAATCCTATAAATTCGTGGAAAATTATTATTAGCTCAAAAAAAATTTGATTGCTAGTTTTTACCTATCATATCAGTTTATACTATGAACGAACAAAAAAAAATGTCAGCCAAAGCCCCTAAAAAATGGTAAAGACGACCAAAACAGGTGTTTTGACCTTATAAAAAATACCAATAACTGTACAAAAAAAGTTAAAGATAAATAATATGCATTTTTTTGCAATTCAACTACTCGCGTTCTATATAATATAAAGAGTTGAAATTTAAACACAAGGTAGGTCTTATAGTTCCTAACAGACACACCAAAAAGACCGATCACTTGTAATTTTTTTGCAAACTGTAGTAAGAACCAAAAATGGTCCTCTGGAAAAGTGGCCCTACAAAAAATGTTAGACTACATAGTCATTTTTCAAACGCAAGTCACTTCGTCTACATTTACTGTACAACTTACTTTAGTGCCATTTCTTTTTACCAATTACAAGTATCTATAAAATCAATCGCAATAAACTGCTTTTTTGCACCCCGTCCCCTGGAATCGGCGGTGCAGCGAGCCGCCGCTGGAGACCACGTCCACTTCCCGGATGCATGCTTCGGCAGTTTTGAGAAATTGCGTTCAAACTGAAAAAGGGCAGTAAAACTAACAATATCTCAGAAACCATAAAACACGAATTGAGAATTTTTTTTTAATTTGGGAAAGCTCTCAATAATATAAGAATTGCACATATTTACAACTAAGTATTATTTACCATACTGGCTGCTTGAAAACTGTTATTATAAATTCTGTATCGTTCTTTTTAAGATTCCTTGCAAAATGATAATCTTTTGCAAATGGTGAGAAAAAATTTTAATTGATTTTGGCCCAACGTGGCTCATTTTGTTTGCCTGATAATTGTGCATCTTTTTTATCTTTAACTTCATTTTGTACGATTATTGGTATTTGATATAGGGTCAAAAAGCCAGTTTTGGCCTTTTTTACCATTTTTTTGGGGGGCTTCGGCTAACATTTTTTTCCATTCTTAGTACAAATTAAAATAATAGGCAAAGACTAGCAATCATATTTTTTGAGTTAATGATAATTTTTTTGTCAGTAAAACTAATTGAGCCCTACTACAAGCCTGGTGAAAAATTTTAAAGATGCCAAAATTGTTAGTTAACAGAATTCTTTATGTCAACATTAGACTAAGCAGCTTATTTATTTGAAGTATGAAATACACCCACAAAAAGAAAACGATAGCCGTTTGAGATTCCGTCCTCTATTTTGAATGTATGGAGTCAAAGTTAAGGTTTTTAACGTCACTCACAAGACCTAATAGTTTTTCCTCTTCAGATTTCGAGGAAGGAGTCTTAAGTAACTAAGACTTTAGGGAAGATAGATGGTTTATATTAGTTTTCATATGCTTGACAGTGCAGGTTAATTTACTCATTTACTCAGTAGAACAATATTATTGGATCAAGCTGTAACGTCAGCCTTTAAAGACGCTAAATCTCCTGTAATGGCAATACAAATTTACCCAACTTTGCATAGTCAGTATTTAACGGAGCAATTGCAACGTCAAATTCTTTAACAGTGGTTAAAAAAAGTTAAATTACCACTTACTTGCCTATCATCCCTGCTATTAACATCGATTAGTATACAGATTTTGGACCTTGTGTTACTTATTAACTGAAGATTCCTAAATTTATCGCTTTAAAAGCATTTAAGAACACTTTATAAATAGAAAAAATTCCTCTCCTTTTATCTGACACATGTTCTCTACAGTTAAAGTCGACTCTTGTGTACCACATCCCACGAGAACATCACATGCTAAAGTCACTAAAAAGTACAACGTATTGGCTGAGGTAGCCCACGTGTTCTTCACGGATTTTAATAGCGTTGTACTACGCTAAGTAGCGAGAAAAAGCGAGAAAGACTATCCGAAATTGGATCCTGTGATCGTAACAAGCGAAAGCTGTTAAAAAAAAGTGTCTAAAAAGACTGTAAGCAGCATTTAGGATTCCAAAGCCAAAGAGTATCAAGTTATAGCTGTAACACAAATAACGTATATATATATATACATATATATATATATATATACACGACTGGGGCTCCACCACCCTGCGCTCTTTGCCCTAACCCCCTACTTATGCATTATAATCCTTCGCATAGGTTTTGAAGTAGGTGGCAAAGGGTCTTAAACCAAAAAAATTGTTTTCAATTGAAAAATATAAATTGCATAATTAATTAAAATAACAAATATATATAACAAATACATTTTACATAAGTTAAGTATGGTCATAAAAAAATAGCTTTAGTNCTTAAATGTC